CTCCCCCCGATGAACAAATTTTTATTCACCACACAGTTTTCTTTTCCTACCCTAATCAACCAAATATTGCTTTCCAAAGCGCACGGTGGTGGATGTGAGCATTGATTGTATCGTCAACGATAATAATGAGTAATCACACTTCCGTAGTGGTTGCGGCTGCACACTAGCTTGCCACAGGAACTCATTTCAGACCGTATTCGATTTCGAGCTTTCTATCGCACAAAGGAATGCACTGCCCTGCCATAAAGATTCCCATTTTTTAACTAGTTATTTCGGTGGATACTTAATCGATTCGTTCAGAATTCCAGTGTATTTCCGTGGACATCACTATGAACCACACTGTTCACTGCTTGTAACTTGTAGTAAGCGTTAATACACCCGAACTCTCTACTGTTGTCAAAAAAAGGAACGAGAGATTCGACCCAACGATATAGTTCAGCCCAATAAGTTACTTTTGAGCAAATTGCATATTCTAAAATTTACGTGAATTAAACTTAACTTTAGGTAGAATATACTGAAGAGTAGGTATTTTCTTTTGCTGATGTTGAATGGATATATGCGACCGACGTGCCAGGAAGGCAGCTACCACACCTGGACCCTACTTATCGACCCATCAACTCATGAACCGGGGACCAACGGCTTTACTTCCCATCCGAAGGAAGGCGTGATCAGAGATGTTATGCCTCAGAACATCCTGGCGGCGCCGACTGGGATTGAACCCAGGCCTGCTGGGGTGAGAGGTAATCACGCTTACCACTACACCACCGGCGCCGTTTGGGACTTTTTATTGGTTCATTAATTCTTCCAGAAGTTCATAAAATTACCCTGAATTAATTTGAACTCACCCTTACAGATCTTTAAACTCCTCCAAAAGTCTGGACTTTCCTTTAGTACTCGGAACTTCCCTGAAGTTATCGGCGTTGCCCTGAACCTCTTAGAACTTTTTTTAATGGTCCCGCAATTTTCCTTACGTTCAACTAAAAATGAAATTTAGGTATACTACCAAAATGAGCGTGATATTTATTGTTATAGTTATACTATTATCTTATTGATAAACATTTTCTTATCACATTCACTATTATTTACACTAACATAGGTTCAGGAATGTTTCGAAGTTATTCCTAACCCATTATTTTTAATGCTATCTGAATTCAGGAATTCCCATTGGAAAAACAAATAACCAAGCTTTGGGGTGTTTTTGTACACAGAAAGCTATACAGTGGATAACCAACCAAGCTATAGGGTTGGGGCTATCACAGTCAAATTCAAAATCTATATTGAACTTATTCTTTACTATTTAGGTTACCCATTTTCTAATTTCCTTTGAAGATTCACACTGGTGTATCCTATGATCATTGCTATCAAGTGTTTGGTTGCCACATCGTTCACAAATATTGATCTGGCATTTTTAATTCTATAATGCTCGATTGTTTGCCTGTTTGCGACCAGGTCATGCAATAAATGAAACATGGCTTAAAGACTGGAACGCGCAGAAATTGGTCGACAAAAAAATCATTTCTTTCGGTCAAAATTCATATCACAAAAATCTTCTTATTTTTCTTTTGGTAGTTCAATTCAAATATTTAAAGGAAATAATGTACGTTTATTCTTTTGGTTAGCCAAATCCGAACTGCCTTGCCTTCCGCTTAACCCCTTTCATTAAATTTTGCACAGTGGTCTCATCGACCCTATTCGCCGCCGAACGCCAGTTAGATTTAAACTGCTGTTCGTTTTCCATGGATTTATTAGTTTTTTTTTTTAGATTCCGTTTCACCAAGGCCCAATACCGTTCGATAGGGTGGAGTTCTGGGCTCTCTTTGGGTACCACAACCACGTTGTTCGCATCGTGCCACTCAATTGCCTTTTTTCCCATAGTGGCAGCTCGCCAAGTCCGGCCAGAACAGCACATGTCTATAATGTGGCTTAAGGGATGGTAGCAGCTGCTTTCGATAGTTTGATGGTTTTGAAAATTTCAGCCACCTTCCCTTTTCCTGATACGGTATAAAACTCCTGTCCCGGAAGCTTCTTGAAATCCGCCTTCACATAAGTTTCGTGTGAGAACGTCGGATTCTCTTGCTGCGCGAGCAAAATTTTGACACGCTGCTCAACTCGCTTGGACGTCATTTTGAAAACTGAAGAGCAAACGGTGAAAACTCTTCATAGCAACCATTGTTTATACACTCAGCTTCAAATGCAGAAGTTCAGGTTTTTTTTAAATGCTTTTTTAACAGAAATACACCAATTTGAAGTTGACCAATTTTTGCGCGTTCCAGACTTTATCTGTTTTCTGTTAGTAAATAAAATAGTACAAAATTTTCCAATGTGAAATCCAACTTACTACAGAAAAATTAGTTTGAACATATGGAAAAAATCCTTGCCTTGCTGACGGATAAATTAACCGTAAAGTTGCTTAGCAGAAACTACTTCACTGTGTAATTAATTTCCTTTTTGAAACAACTCGTGTTTGTTCAGGTAGGTATTTAAAGTTTAATAAAAACTTTTCTCCGATATATATACCATCCATGTATTTTTTATGTAAAAGCGCTTTGCATTTTTCCGTAGGGTCAACTTAACCAACTCCACCGCCATCAGGATCGAAATAATGCTGCCTTTTGTCCACTCGAAAGATGTAATTTTTCTATAGAAAATGTGATTTTTTTTTTCAGGATAAAGCTGGACCATGTACCATAACTTGGACAGGATGAAGGTATTCACCTACCGCACCTTCTTAAAAATACACATATTTGCTATATTCTGTGCTCCATTTCATTAATAAGTTGTTCGAAGTTGATATCAATTGTATCATTCCAAGTATTTTTGAATGTGACTCCAAAAAACTTCAAACTTTCGGTTTTAGCTACTTGGAAAGGTTTACCATTACAGTTGGTTACCTGTATGAATCATGATTTTTGTACATTTACAATAATTTTCGAAAACTTTGAAAATGAAGCAATGATATTTAGAACTTTATCAAGCTCTTCTGTGTTTCGAACGAATACATTCAAATCGTCCGCAAAATTTACTCTCAGGAATTTTTCATACGCTAGGACCCTGAGCACGCTTTGGTCTATCAACCGAATCAATGGTTCCAAATACTAAATAAAAAGTATCATGCTCAGCGGACATCCTTGTCTGACAGATGAGTTAATTTGAATTTCCTTCGTTAACAATCCGTTGTACAAAATTTTAAAAGTTGCTTTTCCGCATAAGCGTTGGATGCATTGAATCAGTTGACACGGAACCCGAATTTTCTCCAGCACTTTTCAACGATATTTGTGATCTACTTTATCAAAAGCCTTCTATAGATCAAGGCTCGACAGAAACCCTTTAAAACACTTACTTTCTGTAGCTTTCTGCCATAATAACAACCAATCAACCTTGTCCTTAAAGATCTCTTAACATTCCTGGAGTACGACTCCCGTGTTTTTTTTAGCATTGGTGATTTTGCTTTCCCATAATTTGTTTTCTGTCAATCTAGTTTTCCATACTGAGAACCTACACCTGGACCCTACCTATCGACCCATCAACTCATGGACCGGGAACCAACGGCTTTACTTCCCTCCCGTGATCAGAGATTGTATGCCTCAAAAAATCCCTACGGCGCCGACGGTGATTGAACCCAGGCCCTTTGAGGAACCGTCTAAATCTTGCAATCAAACTGATTACAAAGTCTTTTGTTTAAACGCCCCACATCCATTCAGCTCTACTGAAGTCACAACAGTCCTGTTTTCACAAGCTCTGGGTAATAAGTGGCAGCAGATCAAATTTCACGCCCCTTTCGTTTGGTGCAACAATAGTTGCCCCGAAGAGGGAAAGACCCGCAAAGCTTCTCCCAGACTGACATACGGCAGCGGATAATCGATCGATCTCGATTATCGCCGTGCAATATTTCGCTCAAATTGGTCCCTCTCTGCATATGTGTGCGTGTGTGCGATATCAAAAGTAGCAGATTGGATTTACGCGATACCTCTCCTCGCCCCTCCGAGCACAGCGCACTCGATAATGATTTATGATGCAGCGTAGATTATGAACTGTCTTTATCTCATTCGCATCCGAGAGGCTTTGGCTGCTGCTGCTGCTGCTGTATAACATACCTACTTACGGTGGGAGAGAAATTTGAATTCCCGGAATCTAATTCCACCAACCGAACGCGTCTGGGTTGTATGTTTCAATTTAAACCCATTCGTCGCGGTTAAAACTCGTGGAAGCACCGGACAAAGGACCTGCAAATCGATTTCTATTCGCTGCTGGTCAGAGCCTTCCCACCCCCTGCCTCCCCTTGTTTTGTGAGGAGTCAAATTGAGATCATGTGAGTTTACTTTGCTTTTCTTTGCCCGGGTAATTACGGCAGGTGATTTGAAGCAAAATACCCGAACCATCCAATAAGCCAATCTCTGATCCCCAACATTGTAGTACAACTCAATAGTCACCCTCGAGTGATAATGTTTCGAAATGAGAAGCAAGAAACTTTGATCGAAGCGGAGATTCCCACCGATCTCGGGACTCTAAGCGACGGCGACGGCGGTGTTAAACTCTCCGACTTTGCTCGCATCAATAAATCAATCGGTTATCAATTTGCCCTGATCAAGAGCGCTTTTGATGCCGAGAGGTCCCCCAGCATGACTCACGCAGCAGGTTCGGTTGCACAAATTTGCAGTTCTACTGGATTGCTACTTCTTCCGATCCTTGAACCGTCACCGTCAGGCAGAACATCCGAACCGCCGAGTGCATCTCAACGACGACGACCGACGGCGGCTGGGAAAGGAGAAAAATTTGCATATCAATCTGTGCGGCAGCAACCGGCGGACGGAGTCCCGTCGGACTCAATCGCGAAGCGAAGATTGATGTGCGCGACCAACCAGACTCCTCCAATAGGGCAGGATTTGATTTTTGATTGATCTCAGCTTTATGAGACTTATGCGCGGGGCTGGGAAGAGCAGATTTCCCGCCGACGATAAGCTGCAGTTTGGAGAGCGAGAACAAGCGAGAGCGAGACTTACCTTCCGAGATGAGACGTTCCCGGATTTCCCAGGCGAAGATGGTCGGGTTCTCCCGTTTGTACTGTTCGATTTTGGAGACGACGGCCGGTGTCGCCACTTTCGGCTTGGACCCACCGATCAGACCGGGTGGTCGCAGGGTACCTGTTGAGAAGCAGAAAACGTAGAAGTCAGAATTGCGGGTAATTTGCATACAACAACATATGTTGGTAGGTACAACTGTAATATACCGAGGGAGGTTTATCTTGATGGCGAAGGGATTTGATTTGGCGCGATTTGGCCATGTTTGCTTACGGTAATTATGGTCGAGATCGAGCGGTTCTGGCGGTGTTTGTCAGAAGGTCTAGACAGTGATTGACTGGTGGCGGAAGTCGTTGATTGAGAGGATCGGGAACGCATCCAGGGAGGTCTGGGTCGGAATGGAACAAGGGCATCGATCCGGTGGGGGAGGGGGGATCGGTTTGTGTGAATTGGGATTAGATGGTTTGGTATATTTCGATCAAATCGTAACGATGGATCATTTGAATGATGAAACATTGACCGACACGTTTTCTGTATGATCTGTTCAACGGCCAGTTCCGAAACCCGATTTTTGCATTTCTATCTATTTTTATGAGGAAAATTGCGCAGAGATCATGATGTATTCCGTCTTCATCCAGATTTAATCTAAGGTGCTAGAATCTGAGTAGAAATATTCCATTTTTTTTTGTTAATATCCGTTCGAAAAAAAAGAGGTAAGTCTCAGTCCGACGGGACTTTGATAAAAAACCTTACCTATATCCTTTTCATGTCTCATAATTCCAAAACTCAAAACGAAATTGACAATTGTAATGTGTATTCTCAGGTAAACTGATTTTTCTCTCTAACCGTATTTGATTAGGTAGAGAGTTTTATATCACTGTATTATACCTAATGGCACCATCCACTACCTTGACTAGATGCGAAATGTACCTAGGTATCATATAAATAGCTGTATTTGATTTCATGACCATCATTCTAAGCTAGTCTTCTTTCTCATATGGAAGTGTTTTGTCTCCGTCTCTCTCTTAAATATCACACTACCCTTTCATAACTGCTATTCTGAATTTTCTATTAAAATTTTGCGTTTAAAAACGGTCATTTCTATAAATTAAATAATTTGGGTCCCTTTTTAAGTAACGTTTCAGTTAAAACGACAATTAACTCTCAAAAAGTTAAATAGCTCGTCTTCATTATCTTTAAGGGATCGAGCATTCCAATTTAAAATATTTAATGATTTAAAATCCAATGCTGAATTTCAAAGTCATGACGATATTGTTCGCAAATTTAACTACAGTCTGAACAGCGTCAAACATGGTTGTATGTTGGTTAAATTTTCAATTTTAAATTTGTCTTACTTACTTGTCTAAGTCTTTCTCATAAATATTGCATAGTATATGTGTTACATTTTCATAGCTGCTATTCTGAATTTTATTACTAATTTTTGCGGTTCAAATGAAGAAAGAATTTCATGTTTTTTCTTCGGAGACGAAAATCTCTTAAATGGTGAAAGAATTTCATGTTTGATACGTCTAAGAACAGCAATGATTGCAATGTCAAGTGGGTCCAATTCGTCAACTCCATCCAATGAAAACATCATGTAAACTGTCTACTCTTAATCGTTTTCTTACATGTCCGATATTTTCCAATTTTTTGTATAGTATTCATTCAAAGTACCTAGTTAAAGTTAGTTCTTAACGATTTCCGAGTATTAATATTTTACAAATTAAAAAACAAACCTTTACAAAATATTTCCCCTGCAAATATACTATTAAGAATGTTCTGCACTCTTCATATATGCAATTTCTTGCGCCGATTAGGCATACATAGGGGAGAGATGGGCATAGTGAACATGTGGGACAGCTTCCTGTGTCTTGGATTTTTTATGGTTCGAACAAATGAATTGGTCATGGTGATATTGAACCTACTTTTATTTCCGTTTCGAATAATTAGAGGTGTTGGACTGAAGTGCGGGATGCTCATTATGCTTCTCTTGCCCCTATCTATGAATCATTTGGGCCGCCCTATGAGCATTGAAGGTGAAAAATCACTAAAAAATGTTTGAAAACAACTTCACCTACAAATGTACAACAATTTGGAAGTTTGGCAGAACACCGTTTGACCGAATGCCATTTAGTCTAATGTGTAATTTGGTCAAATGCCATTTTATCAAAAACGTGAGAAAAATTCATACATTTTTGAACATTACTAGATTTCTGAATTGAAATATGAACCGATTTTTCTTTGATTACAATTTGAGATTTCAAACTCCGAGCTGACAGAAATTTTACGATTCGAGACATAAGACATCTTCAAGATACATAAATATTTACATTTACATTTCTATATGAGGGTACACTTTGTGAAAACCGAAAATGGAACATGTAACGAAAATATGAAAGATTTTGAACGTTAATAACTTAGCTGCCCTGGACCAATTTCAATAATTTTATCACCAATGGATCGGATATATTTCTACGCATCGATAGATGATTTTCAACAACAAACTATTGAAAAAGTGGTAAATGTCGAGCATTTCCAAACGCGTTGAAAAAAGTGGTACAGGCATATGCTGCTTCCCCAACACAGTCATCAGCGAGTCGTTAGTAGACGAAACAAGTCGAAGTGGCATTCGTCCCCGATCTCCGGGCGTGTGCGAATAGGAAAGATGCAATTGCGTAGCATTTTGCACACTCATCCCTATATTCAGAACCACACGCCCCCAACGACCACACAAAATGCTCTCCAGAGTTGTAATCTTGTACCCAAACTTGGAAGCGGGGGTGCAAGTGATAACTCGACGGCAAACACATTCATTAATACGTTTTTTGTTCTGGATGATATTTAGAAGACCATAGCAGAAATAGGTTAGTGTAACCATGGTCATCAAAAGAAGAAATCGATGAAGAGAATTGACTTTCACCCTACTGCTTCTAAGCCCCTTAATTCAGTCATCGTCATAGCAATAAAAACTAGCATCGCACCGCTTTTGGTTCTTGGATTACACTTACTGGTTGCAATTCTGCTGTTCGACATTTTCGAAGGACCTCCAAAAACATGAAATTACACTGTTTTCTAGGGATGCCTTAAAGTCCAATTATTCGATTCACGATTAATCGTAGTGATTTTTCCAGCTATTCGATTAAATATTTATCAAATTTTCAATTATTCGAATGCGTAACCGACATCCCTTCTTATTTCTTATCCTTTGATTTAGCGCAGTAGAGAAAATAAATAAAAGTAATAATTTATCTGAACAGCCATAGAGAAGAACCATGACGTGAAACAGGATCATAAATTCGCCGAAAAAAGTGTTAAGCGTCTTTCTACTAAAGTCTAAAGTCCGGTCCGATTTGCTGATCCAGCTGCCTACACGTCATCATCATCGTCCAAAGGCTTTAAGCCTGTACTACCATCGGCCCTGTTCAGGGCCAGCAAGATTTCCCAAATTCTGAACATGTCCTTACTAAAATTCATATCAAAATGTTCTTCTTAGGGCAATCATAGTCACACTAAAGAGTATAATTCCTATTCCTACACAAAACATAAGCTCCTGCTGCAGCTAACAAATAACATTTATTATATAAGACCACGTAGTCCTACGTCGCGTCACCATTATAACTGATGTAAGAACTCAGCACTCACCAACTACCTACTCGGAAATCAAACATACAGCACCCGGTCGACTCAGGTGACAAGAGCAAGCTCCGGAACACTCAGGGTCGGCTAGCTACCGGAGGGTTTCGCGATTCAAAAACGAAGAACTTTCACTTTTCTTTAAACGCATTTATTCGCCACTTTCTGTATTAAGTGCGTGTTGTTCTGTGTTCATAATTTCGTGTACTATGTGTCGTGTAGCCTAATCGTGTTGTTCACTGTACCGGTACATACCGCTGCTGCCATTCATGGTGAATCGGGATGGCTGACACAGTGGTAGACAAGTTTGAAAGGGAGGATATGATCATCCTTAATGACGGATCACCGAGCTTTTTCAATGGACGGCACACCACGGCGATCGATGTAACTGCTGTCAGTCGTTCTCTCGCTGGAAAAATGCAGTCAAGCGTCAATCCGGACCTCTACGGTAGCGATCATAACCCGGTTCAGGCGCAATTCTTTGCCGCCGCTATACCGGCAGAAACGCGGAGACCTCGGTGGCGCTATGACGAAGCCGATTGGGAGAGTTACGGTGGAACCTTACAGTCGCTCCTTCAACAACGTAACCCTGACAGCATCGAGAGTCTCACCGAAGCAATAAACGCAGCTGCGTCAGGAACCATCTAAAAAACCAGCAGCATTCCGGGGCGTAAAGCCCTCAGATGGTGGAACGAGGAAACGAAGAAGGCAGTTAAGGCCCGGAAAAAAGCCCTTCGACGAATCAAACGGCTTCCCATATATGATCCGGATAGAGAAAACGTGCACAACCAGTGTCGCCAATTGGTCCGAGATGCCAAACGATCCAGTTTGACGGACTTCCTCGAAAGCATAAATGCAACACAGTCTTCGGCGAAACTCTGGGGTAAGGTCAACGCCCTCAGTGGCAAGCGCCGTACGGCCACACTTCATATACAGGTAGACGGCGATGCAGTCTCCGACCCCGGAATCGTTGCGGATAAGCTTGGCGACTATTTCGCTAACCTCTCTGCGATTTCCAAGTACGAGGTGACCTTTCAACGGCTAGCAAACCCATCGACTTCGTCCGTAAGCAGTTTTCGAGTTTCTCCAGACACGAACAACCTGAGGATCAACCACAACGGAAAATCAGCTGGCCCAGACGAGATCGGCTACCCGCAGCTCAAGAACCTGCCTATCCTGGGTAAAGTAAAAATGCTGGAACTCTTCAACCAGCTTTGGCAGACAGTCTCGTATCCAGAGCATTGGAGGGAGAGCTTGGTTGTCCCCATCCCCAAAGCAAACGAGCCGACACGGGATGTGGCGAAGTTCCGACCCATTGCGCTCACCTGCTGCATGGCAAAGGTTTTCGAGCGGATGGTCAACCGACGACTGAAGCAGTTTCTCGAGTCTGGCGGCTTTCTAGACCATCGCCAACACGCATTTCGGCAAGGCCGCGGTACATCCACGTAATTTGCGACGCTAGGAGAGCTCCTCAAGGATGCCACGGATAA